CCCCCCCCCCCCCCCCCCCCGCCAAAAAAATATCTTTCCATATTTCGCGCTGATACCAGTTTATTGTTGTATATTTTAGCCTTGAAAATTTTATTTTACCTATTTTTTTTCATAATTGTTATAATCGTCCATGTTCCGGCCTGCCTCTTCCGTTTACGTAATATTAGAGACATCTGACATATCTGCATATTCATGTTTTTATAAACAGATTTAAAATTCACTCTGTCTAGTCTGTTGAGCTGTCTTTTTGTCGCACGCGCGAGCGGTAAAAAGTGAAGCTGTCCAACGGGATATTTTTCACGAGTACGTGATATACAGAATAACTTAACAGTCTGTTATCATAGAACCAATCAATATGTGGACTGCCGAACTGTTCATTCCTTGGTGTCTGATGTACTGGACTCCAGGTATGTTTAGATTTTTTTTTTACTTCGAGAAATGGATGCGGAGTCGCACACGTTCCGTTGTAGTTTGAGACTTCATTCGAAGTAACTCGGCTCGTCACAATTTTCCAAAGATTCGTTCAAAGCCAAAGTACAAAAATGCAGGGTTTTCTGCTCTCAGGAAACTTCGAGTCAACGTGACATCCCAAAAAACGGCTGCGGAGGAGACTAGAAGTCGCCGTGTAAAGTCAATTACTTCAGATTATTTCGATCGCTCACATCAATAGATAAATATAACGAATTGAATTTCAGCCTTGCACCCATCAGCAATCTTAGTCAAGCGATAATTACAATTTACTACGTCTAGTAAACTGCATTTAACCTCGATTTCTCATTATATAAGAGGACCACGAGAGGAAGCAGGCATCGAGGCGAACTTACGTGTGCGTGTTTCTTGAACCGAAACGAACGATAACAATCCTCCTCACGTCCACATGCTTTTTGTTATAAAAGCGAAATCTATAAGCTTGAACTTGGTTTCTTCATTTACTAGGATTTGAATGGATTTGGATCGCTAGACAATTTGCGGACATGTTCGAAACATACATCTACTCAGTTATTTTTTGAATATACCGATTTTAAAATCACCGATTGTTTATATTAAATACGTAATTATGACTGAAAATGTCAGATCGACTGTTTAATGGTGTTTCTTCGTAAACCTTCCCTTACTGGGAGACTTCTTTAAGACTACTTGTTTTCGATCCGAGATTTCAGTCTTTACGTCGTAAATAACAGTTGAGTTGCCTAGCACATGCACTAATGTTGTCGTACAGAACCAAAATGTGCTTTGCCACAACCACGTGACCCGGCTACTTCTCTGTTCCATTTAAAAATAATTGAAGAGTACTTAGCGTGTTGCAACCAGAACATGATTTCTGAAAAAACAATATGCCCTTTGTATTTATTGCATGCAACCAGTGATGAAACAAATCGTTCGGCTACTTTGACAACTCTGCATTTATAGCTACGGATTCACAGTTAGTTAGCACTTTTTATTTTACTTCAAAGGAAAACGCTACACCTTCGCTTGTGCATTCGAACGAAGTTGAGTGGGGACTACTTGAAATACAAATTTATGAATTTCAATTTAAACTTCAAGAACAAGGTGTTTATGCCATCGCAAATGTCGTTGTATATCTACATGCAGCCTCTTGTACATACAAAACAATGTTTTCCGAACAGTGACGTGGAAATAATATAATAATGTTGTCCTGTGCACGTGTGAAAACTGACTCTAGCCATGGAAGCAGTTAAATTTCAAATAAGCTGTTTTAACTTAATTTATAGGAGTTGCATATTTCAATTGCTAGTGCCTTTCAGTTGCTTTTTTCACGTATCGAATTCAGAAAGGTAAAGGTAAAGTCTGCATACGAGCCAAGCGGCCCATCAGGCCGGAGCTTATCCCGGTTTCTGTAGCATGAAGCGACTAGGAGTATTACTACT